CTGCCTGCCTCCCCCCCTGCATTCGCTCCATAGGATGCACAGACTTTCCCCCTTAGTTTTTAAGACGGAAAAACTGCGTCCTATGGTCCGAAAAATACAGTACCATCTATATAACATCTTCATAACATTTTCCTTAATCGTTGTACAAGCTGTAAACTTTAACCCATCCTTCCATAATTTAGTCCATTTCTCAAATTCAGTATTATATCCGAAATCTCTAGCCCAACTAATCATAACAGATTTAACCTCTTCATCCACAGTATTCCATTCCAACAATATTTTATACATTTTAGATAAAATTTTCACTTCATTGTTTAAGATTTCTTGTTGAAATCTAGATTCTTTTTCAGAACATCCCCTCTCTAAAACCTCTTTTTTAAACATTTCATTTAACTGAAAATAATGCAGCCAATCCTTAACATATTCTTTTACTTCTTCATATGGTTTCAATTTCCACTTATTTCCTTCCTTTTTTAATAGTTTCTCATATGTTATCCATCTCCCGCTCATATTTATCCACCACTCTTAACCACTACACCACACTGGCTCTTGGAATAGGATGGCCGATGAGGGTTATGCCTGCACGATTTTGTGTTCCTGTCTCTCTTTCTGCTGTTTTTAAACTGTGGCCACCCTATTGAGTGATACATGCCCCACAGCAGCCATTCTGGGAGTGCTATTCCCTGTCTTTTTTGCAAAATTCCAAATTTACCACTAGTCGAAAAAGGTCAGTGGTCCCTGATCTCCAAGTGGGTGCTAACTGTAAAGAACTGTAGAATATGGAGGTGGGATTATGCTTCAGTTACCAACTCAGTTCAGGAACTGTAGAACAGGTGAATTATCTCTGAAATAGAGGTGGGGCAAGAGATTCAAGAACAAAAGCACAGCCATTCTTTCAAAGGTCCACTTATCTGAATTTTGCGATGCAGTTTGCCAACTAAGCATTGTTAAAAAAATGCATAGATTTTTATATGCATTGAAATGAATAGATGATTGGTGTGTGTGTGTGTGAGAGAGAGAGAGAGAGGGAGAGAGAGAGAGAGAGAGAGAGAGAGAGAGAGAGATGATAGGCTTGGACTTGACTAGACCTATCCATTCTTAAGGAAATCAGCCCTGAGTGCTCACTGGAAGGACAGATCTTGAAGCTGAGGCTCCAATACTTTGGCCACCTCATGAGAAGAGAAGACTCATTGGAAAAGATGTTGGGAAAGATGGAGGGCACAAGGAGAAGGAGACGACAGAGGACAAGATGGTTGGACAGTGTTCTCGAAGCTACCAGCATGAGTTTGACCAAACTGCGGGAGGCAGTGGAAGACAGGAGTGCCTGGCGTGCTCTGGTCCATGGCGTCACGAAGAGTTGGACACGACTAAACGACTAAACAACAACAGACCCTTGTACACATACACATTACCAGAATAGAAAACTATGGAAGAAAACTATGGAGAAAGCAGTGATTCTACTGCTACATTACACTACAGAGTCAGAGTTATCAGCCAAGGTTATGGGGGAACATAGGGCTCTATAGTAAGAAGAAAAATAAAGTTAGGGAAATGGATGTCATTGGTAGACATATTAGACAAGAGAGAGCAATCTTACAGAAACACAGAGTTTAAGTCTTTGTCAAAATGCCATAAAGTCAGAGAGAGAGAGAGAGAGAGAGAGAGAGAGGGAGAGAGACAGACTCTGGGGTGGGGGGGACAGTATTATATTTGCATGAAGCTGTCCATCAAGGCACCTGCAGCTACTCAGTTGCAACCATTTATCACCATCTTCCCCAAAATAAGTTTTCCTAAGCAGTCTAATGAGCTTAATTCCCCTACCTGACAGAATGTAGCCCCGGGAAGCAGAGCTCTGAAATATTGTTCTTTCATTTAACCGCTTTATGAAAATCTACTATATTGAGAGAAGAGGTGAAGGAGGCAGAAGCGGTATGGGGCATATGTTTCTTTTTCCTCTGCAAAGTAAAACAAAGGGTCATCTTGACTTGATTTATGCATTAGATCTAATGGAAGACTAATATGCTAATATCTTTGTTAAAAAGTATAAAAATCAGGGCAAGCGAATTTGCATCTGGTAGTGCTTCTGTATCCCATTGAGATCTCAAACGCCTCAGTTTTCACCCTTCCCCTCTCCAAGGCATCTCTGCAATTTGAAGGATTTTTTATTTCACCTCCTGAAGAATTTATTATGCATCTATGTATCTACAGGGCATAAGGCATGTGGTGTGTGTGGCACAGGAAGGGCACACCTTAATATAAAGTATTATCTAAAAATAAAATTTAACCTTCAGTAGGCAAACTGTATTGGATTGCTGTCTAAGGAGCGTATTTGAGAACCTTGTTGTATACAAGCTAATGAGTTCTGCAAAGGTTCTGCACACATATCAAGATTCTTTGTACCTTGTGGCTCCTAAAATTAGCAACTTTGGGGAGGATATGTGTTCTGAAGTTTGGTTAGCGGAGTACATCGTTCTTCTGCAGAGTTTCACTTAATAAATCAGGACAGAGTCTCTATATTTCTCAAAAAGAAACTTACAAAGTGAAAGGGAGCAGCGGAAGTGAGGGAGAGGGAGGACGGCACCTGAGAATTTAACACAGGGTGGAATTTCAGTCAGGTCCAAATGCTCTCCCAGTTAAATTGGAAGGGCGCAAGTTGAGCCCTGCTAGCTCAGACAAAGGCCTTTCTAGTCCAGACTCCATCTCTCACAGTGGCCAATCAGATGCCTGTGGGAAGACCACAATCTGGGCATATTCAGTCCTGGAGGTAGCATAAAAGCAGTGTAATATATATATATATATATATATATCTCAGTTATATATCACTTTGGTACATAGATAGATGATATAGATAGATACAGTAGATGATAGATACTGTAGATAGATGATAGATAGATAGATTACAAAATGCATTACAAAAATAATGCCAGTAAAGCAGGATTCACATAAAATTTCATTAAAACACAGCATCGTATACAAATATGACTGTTTAACATAAAATTCATTCTGCTATAATATATAATGCTAATTTTTCCTTTACAGTGTTCATTTATTTTACAATCTATGATTTTTTACAAATCTATAATCTATATTTTTTAAAGTTATCTAAGCATTCTTCCATTTGTCCTATTATAGCATTCACATTTTTTTGTTTTGTTTTTTTGTTTTACTACTACTACTACAATCTCAATTATATTATCACTATAAGGCAAAGGGCTGCCTTCTGAACAAGAGGACCTGGGCCATAGTGGTGAGTGCAATGGGTTATTGGTCTGTCCTAGCAAGGTTCCAAGAGTTTGGCTGAATGAAGATCCATCTGACTGAGGACCCCGTTTCTCACAATAGCCAACCAGATATGTCCAGGAATCCTGCAGGCAGGACATTAATGCAATAGCCCTTTCTCATTCTGTTCCCCCAGCAACTCATATTCACTCGCATATTGCCTCTGAACTTGGTGACTGTATATAGCAGCGTTCCTTGGCCTGGTGCCCTCCGTATCTTTTGGACTATAATACCAGCCCCAGCCAGAATGGTCAGCAGTCATGTATGATGTGTTCAATATGGAAGGTGTCAGGTTGGAAAAGTCACTATATATCACCATCATGATTGATGATAGATTTTTCCTCCATAAATCAAATCAGCCCTGAGTGCTCACTGGAAGAACAGATCCTGAAGCTGAGGCTCCAATAATTTGGCCACCTCATGAGAAGAGAAGACTCCTTGGAAAAGACCCTGATGTTGGGAAAGATGGAGGGTGCAAGGAGAAGGGGATGACAGAGGACGAGATGGTTGGACACTCTTCTCAAAGCTACGAACATGAGTTTGACCAAACTGTGGGAGGCAGTGGAAGATAGGAGTGCCTGGCGTGCTCTGGTCCATGGGGTCACGAAGAGTTCGACATGACTAAACGACTAAACAAGAACAACAACAAAGCTTGGTGGTCATCACAACACCTTGTGGCAGTGAATTCCACATATCAGTTTTGCGTTATATGAAGGAGGGCATAAGAATTTATTTGAACGTAATCTTGAAGCAATGTCAATGAAATGCAAGAGCAGTTTCAGCTCATCTTGAAAATATGGCATGCCCGAGAGGCTGTCCTATAGCTGCCTTGGGAGGGACCATTCTCAGCATTGCTTGTACAGGAAGATGCTTAAGATGAGTGTACCTTAGGGAGAAGAGATGGCAGCTGCAGCATCCACAGGTGAGCATAGAGGGGGAAATTAGCTGCTGAGATTTTGTATTTGCCCCAATCCAGAAATCGTCTTGCAGGTCTACCCAGCTGCTTATACAAGTTCTAATTCCCTCCGTTCATACTTATCTGAACAGCTCTTTCCCTGTTGCTTTCTGTGAACTTATCCCTTGCAAGAAATGCCTAATTAATATGCAGCTCCAAGCCTGCCTCAGGATGCTGTTTAGGCTTGTTAACAGTGAAAAGAAGTAGATAATAAACTTGTATGCTAGACTTGGAGGGAATAGCTACTTTCGGAATAACATAATAATCTAGCCAAGCAGGCCTGTCTTGGTAATGAGGAAGAAAATAATAATAACAACTTTCCGCTATGATTTGGTCTACAAAATCGAAAATGTCCCTTGATTTGGTAAGAAAGAGCTGGCTGCATATATATATATATATATATATATATATATATATATATATATATATTCTGCATTAAGATAGGCAGCTGTCACCAGATGAAAAAGGCCTGGAGACCCACATGTATATTTCAACTCGAGACCATATTTCCTGCAAAAGCTGGTTCATATAAAACAGCTGCCCTGAGGTAATTTAAGCAAGCTCACCTTCCTCCCAATCTTAATTTGTATTGTTTAAAAAGACACGGAGACAGTTTTCAAGAAAAACAAATTCCACAAGGGTCTCCTCAAGTTAGGGATCAAATGATTTATTAGAGCCATTTACCATGGGCTATGTTTCGACAGAGTACGTCAGCATATACATTGATTACCCTGGAGCAGATGAGAAGGCAATTATCCCTAAAGCATGTGGATTTATTTATTTTTGCTAGTTGTAAGACATTCTGCCCCAGGGACTCACTTTTTAAAAATGCTGCAGCTTTCATGAGGGAACAAACTCTCCCTCAGCCCCACTCCATTTCATGGGCAAACCAAACCTCCAGAATTGTTACACTGCAATAGAGCATAACCAATATTTCCATCTTAAGATATTGTCTAGTCTGTGGTGAAGACTGCTGAAAGACATTTCCACTTGGCGGCTGCACCTGCCATGGTAATGCCAAACCTGAAAGTGAAGCAGAAACTTCTTAAAAGCTGTTTAGGCTACTGTGCCATTTGTACCAATCTTTATCTTAGTTATTTAAAAATATTTTTATACTGTTCACCATTCAACCATTCACGGGGTGCATAAAAAGATTATAATATATAACATGAAAATAGTAATATGTCATAAAAACAAAATAAGGCAAATACCAGATTGTTGTTGGATCTGTCTCAAGAGACTATGGCGTACGCTTGTGGGGGCAAAGCCCAGCTGTTGAAGTGCAAGCCGGGACAGTGTATATGGAGGTCCTGTGCTGCCTGGACCACAAACTTGCTTCTCAGCCTCACTGATGTGGTTCAAAGGAAAGCAGAGCAATAGGTTTGGCATCAGCATGGCTGCAGGAGTTGCTGGAAAGAGGCGTACAAGGCATCATCCAACCATCTTAGGGGCTCTGATTTGTGTAGGGTTTACTCTTTAGCCTAATTGTGGACAAATTAACTAAACTGGGAGAGCCTCAGCGAAGGAAAGAAAGAAAAAATTTCTCCAGTATACGATGGAATTGAAAGATCATATGCATCAGGTGTATATTTTGAGAGGCAGTTTCAAAGAACTGGTGCCACCATACTAAACAACCTGTTTCATGTGCAGGTAAGTTGGACCACCAAAGCACAAGGGCCTCTTGGACTAGCATAGGAGGACTGGCAGAGTGTTCAGCTGGCTTTCAGATATCAGGCAGGGTATGTACCATATGCAAAAGCACTGTAACTGGAGAAAGTCAACACCTGGAAGTCCCTTGGTGATTAAGCACAATATTCCAATGTTTCTGATATCCATAGTCCAAATGTGAGGGTACATTCTTTGCATGAAGGACTTTACTGAGCTGGATCAGCTATGTCAATATAAGGCAGCTTCCTATGTTCTTATGGGAATGATCCATCCTTTGAATAAGTATCTTCTTGTCTATCTGGAGAACAAGAACCAGTAGATATTGGGTGATATGGCCCATGTGGTGATTTCCAGTGCTGAATGTTCAGAAGTCCTTGGTGAAAAATACTACCTTGTCCCCAATCACTTTCTTTGATCCCAGTGGTACGCTAGACTAGTAGTCAGTAGCACAGAAAGCTACTTTCTGCTTTTGTGATTTCAGTTTTTGGTTTGGGCTGGCAGCTCTAAAGAACAAGATTGAAGTACCCAATGAGGTGCTCTCCTGGTAATGTGGACAGCTATTCCCATCTGCCTCAGACTGCATGACAAATGGTCAGGGATGATGGGAATTGTAGTCAAACAACATCTGGGGTGCACACCACTGACGAGATCTGAACAAGATTGCAGAATGCACTGTAGATAAAGTGAAACTAGGAATTCTCGGTTTTCAGAAACAATAGCATTAGGGCATTCAATGAAACTGCAAAACAATCACATTATTTTTCATAGCCACGGGGAATTATAGAGGCTTAGAACTCAGCATTTCCACACACACCCAAGACTGGTCATTTATGAGGATAATGAAATAAGTTACAAGAGTCTACAACTTCTTCAGCATTATAATTTTGGAAGCCATACGAAAGCTTCAGGGCACAAGCCAACTACTAGCTAAGTGGGTTAGGAAGAAACTGCTGTGTGTGCAGATTATTTGTGTAATACTTAAACTTTTTCAGAAAAATGCAGCACTGGTCACTTTGAAAAATGAAAACAAGGATACCAGTCTGGATGAACACCAGTAAATTATGCTACCTTTGATCCCTCAAAAGCGAAGAGTCTACACTATTGAACACATTCCTTAGACTGCCCCTTTCGACACCTTCCATACAGTGAATTTTGGAACAGCGATCTGATTATTCTGTAGCAGCAAAAAAAGACAGAAGATGCTGTGACACATTTTAAAAGGTGGATTATTGTGGCATAAACTGTCAGTAGTCAAGCTAATGGCCTCTTAGGTCCATTAAGTGGACTGAGAAAGAAGTAGCGGAAAACAAAACTGGGGACACATTGGAGCGTAATTAACAATGTTGTCAAAAGCAACGAAAGTACAAAAACAATATCCTGAGAGCTGAGTGACAAAATGGGTAACTTCAAATCATTGCTAGAACATCCAAGTAATAAACTACTGCATGTACACAACTCATCAGAAATGGGTGCCTTGGGAGGTTGACTCTCTGTGGCAAAGTTTCTGAAGAACCACAGCTTCTAGCCTATTATTTGGTATGCAGTCTTGCTGTCGCGTAGGGAAGCCACCAGTCATCTGTTTAAGTAAGTCAGCTGCAGCCAAGGTAAAGGTAAAGGGACCCCTGACCATTAGGTCCAGTCACGGATGACTCTGGGGTTGCGGTGCTCATCTTGCTTTAGTGGCTGAGGGAGCCGGCGTACAGCTTCCGGGTCATGTGGCCAGCATGACTAAGCCGCTTCTGGCAAACCAGAGCAGCGCACAGAAACTCCGTTTACCTTCCCACCGAAGCGGTACCTATTTATCTACTTGCACTTTGATGACGTGCTTTCGAACTGCTAGGTTGGCAGGAGCAGGGACCAAGCAACGGGAGCTCACCCAGCCGTGGGGATTCGAACGGTCGACCTTTTGATCGGCAAACCCTAGGCTCAGTGCCACCCGCTTCCCACAGCTGCAGCCAAACCACACACTAAAGCCTCCCTAAGTTTGACGAGCGCAGGAGCGAAACGTGCAGATCTGCGGAAGCCGGAACAAGAAGGGAGATCCCTCAGCCACGCAGCTGCTGAAATTCACTAAGCCACGCCCCCGGGCAACCGGATTGGTTGGCCGGGCGCCATGATGCGGCAGGGACTCCCCAATGATGTGGGGGCTTAGCCATGCCCCCGCTGTGTACGGGAGACCATGTGGCCTGCCTGCAACACTGTCCCAGAAGGAAGTGGAGCGGCCTTCTTAGAAGATATTCCACATCTACGATCATGAGGCAGCTTTCAATAAAACAAGGTAGGGTACAGTTGGGAGAAGAGTACTCTAGATTGCAGAGGTCTCCTTATTTAGTGCCTCCAGCTTCTCCCGGTTTCCTGGCTGGTACAGTGCTTTGCAAAGTCAAATTGGACCTGCTCAATCCCATGGTAAATGGCAGGTGAGGAAGCAAACCTTGGTGAGCAGATAGGCATCCAGATCTTTTGAAGACCTCTTTTTTTCATGGTTGCTTTTCACCAGCGGCAAATCTTCGGTTACATTAAAGGTAAAGGGACCCCTGACCATTAAGTCCAGTCGTGGCCGACTCTGGGGTTGCGGCGCTCATCTCTCTTTATTGGCCAAGGGAGCCGGTGTACAGCTTCTGGGTCGTGTGGCCAGCATGACTAAGCCGCTTCTGGCAAACCAGAGCAGCGCACGGAAACGCCGTTTACCTTCCCACCGGAGCGGTGACTATTGATCTACTTGCACTTTGAGGTGCTTTCAAACTGCCAGGTTGGCAGGAGCAGGGACCGAGCAATGGGAGCTCACCCCGTCGCGGGGATTCGAACTGCTGACCTTCTGATCGGCAAATCCTAGGCTCTGTGGTTTAACCCACAGTGCCACCCGCGTCCCTATTCGGTTACATTAACTCGAATTAAATAAGTGGCAGTTAATGGCTTGGAGGATATATGTTGGATGCCCCACATTGTTTCTCCATAAAGTATCCTTTGCAGTCTTCAAATCCACACTGATGCCATGTTAATATATGCTTCAGCTGAATCACAGATCAAATGGCTAGCTGAAAGTTGTATGTGTGTGTACTGTCTCTCTTTCTCTCTTAGATAAGTTGAGAAGAGACAAGGAATGATTATCTCTCTCCCCTCCCCATCCTTTCCTGCTTCCTCATTATGATGGCTTGAATGCTTGAGTGAACCCGCACTTCCCTTGGGCTGTGCTTTCTGTGACAAAAAGCACCATGCTAATCACACATTTAAGACGGGTCCATTCATGCTTGCCACTGCTCCTTCCAATCTGGCGCTCAGGAAAGAGAAAGGAACATGACTTCACACCCCCGTTGTGTGTGTCGTGGTGTTGATTCCAATCAAAGTTGGCAATCTTGAGCACAAGACCCAGCAGATGGTATTTATGCCAATGTGACCCCTTCGATTCCACACTGTATGTTTTATGTAAGAGTTGGAAGTGCAGTTCCAAGGGATTCAGATTTGACTTGTGGAATTCAACACTCACCACTGCCTTTGTTTAGGGACTGCTTTGGAGTGCATGATGTACTGCTTCAGTCTCTAAGGAGTCAAATCTTTTCAGTCCTTCCCGGCAGACACTTTTAGAGGTGATTTCCAGTGTGGGACTGGATTGCTGCTGCTGCTTCTAGCCCTGAATCTAGCTCTTCTGATATCTAAGCAACTCTTATAAATACCATCCTCCCTAGACTGTTTATGTGCCCGAAGAAGTTACAACACGCTCCTTGGAGGAAATGTCAACCTTAATAACTGATAACGGCTTACTTGGTCTGGGTATCACAGAAATATGCCTGCAGTATGAAGCATATTCAGATTCTTACTGATTAACTTGAAATATAGCTAATAAATGGTTCGTGAAAAAAGCAGATTTAGCTCTTGTACACAGAGTAATGAGTTATTGGTTATTTCTTAATTGGTTGGTATGGGTGTGAGGTTATGGGGGCTAATATCTCTGAATGGTAGATGTGTTGTAATCAATCACAGTGAATTAACTAGATCAGCATTCAGACTTTCCTCTTGGGAATAGACAAAATCTCACTGCAGGTCTACATTCTAGGCTCTTGGCAGGGCAATACAGTGGTACCTCAGGTTAAGTACTTAATTCGTTCTGGAGGTCTGTACTTAACCTGAAACTGTTCTTAACCTGAAGCACCACTTTAGCTAATGTGGCCTCCCACTGCCGCCGCGCCGCCGGAGCACGATTTCTTTTCTCATCCTGAAGCAAAGTTCTTAACCTGAAGCACTATTTCTGGGTTAGCGGAGTCTGTAACCTGAAGCGTATGTAACCTGAAGCGTATGTAACCCGAGGTACCACTGTAAATATAAAATTTATTTATTTATTCTATTGATCATCCAGTGGCGTTGCATGAGAGGGGCCACAGGGCACAACATTTGTTAGGGTTGCAGCATTTCAACACCCGTTGCTGCCTCAATATAGCTACACACTTCTGTCACTGGGCTTTACTGAAAATGGTTCCTCCATGCAAACTAGGAAGTGACCTCTCTAGACTACAGAATGACTCTTATTTTCTTATGTTTGTGGCTGCAATCTCATGGGTGCCGCGAATGCCTTAGGCAGCTGAATGCACATGCCTAATCCATCCAATTATCACTCATCCACCCACCTACCCTCTGTGTGGCCCTGGGCACTGGCAACCCACGCTATGCTACTGTGATCATCTCTATCATCCATCTATCTATCTATCATCTATCTATCTATCTATCTATCTATCTATCTATCATCTATCTATCTATCATCTATCTAATCATCATCAATCTATCAATCTATTGATCATCTATCTAGTCTAACATGTGTGCAACCTCGATCAAGGTTCAGCAGACAGTATAGGTTTGTTTGTATGTACATTGTTAGTGAGACAAGATTTAAATCCACCTCGAAGACCTGGGAAACAAACAGCAGGTTTACAACCAAGTCAACAAACAACAAGTTTGCTTGGTTTAATGGAGATGTCAAATTCCAGTTTCATTCTGCTGTTGCTTGCTTCTCAAAAATATATGCTGTCTTAAATCTATGCCCATCCTGGACATTCTTTGCTTCATACACATATATGTGCATTTGACATAGTATGGCAGTGTACACACATATATAGGGCCTTCTCAACAGTGGCACCCCCCCGTGGAACACCCTTCCATCAGATGTCAAGGAAATAAAGAACTGCGCCAATTTTAGAAGACACCTGAAGGCAACCCCGTATCAGCAAGTTTTTAATATTTAATGTTTAATTATGATTTTATATGCGTTGGAAGCTGCTCAGGGTGGCTGGGGTAACCCAGCCAGATGGGTGGGATATAACAACAACAACAACAACAACAACAACAACAACAACAACTCATTTTCCTGCCTTCTTGCATTCGAGATGAAGGCTGTAAAAGGAGGCCTATAGTCTTCACAACTTCAGATGCCACCATGGTGTGGATTAGTCTGATGTAACATTATAAGCTTTCCTTAAAGTTTCTATTCCCTACACTACCACTATGGCCTGCCAAATAAAGTTGAACGCAAACCAGTTTCTTGATGAGACCACCCCAATGGCCTCACTCTCAAAGGCTACATATGTCTTGTGATCACACAGGCTTTAAACAAACTGTGCCAGCATGTTTAATCAAAGCGAAAAGAGAGAGAACTATATTCATTGCCTTGAGGCACGCTACCACATGGTATTAAATTAACTAAAATATTAAAGAAGGATCTGCTTGAATGGCGGCGGGGGGGGAAATGATTGGATTTTAAAATCAGAACTTGGGATATATATTCAAGGGGCACAAAAGGTTCTGCAAAACTCAACAGCCACATTCTCTGAGCCGAACTTCAAAGGCAGGAAAGGTGAAGACCTGAAAGCCACACTGAGAGGTGCTTCCAGAAGTGCTAAGGATTATGCAGTGGCTATTTCATTACAGTGACCAATCTGAGGTCATATAGGGGAGGAAGATAATTCACCACCTTTATTGGTATAGTTATATACCAATAAATATAGCTTTATTGGTATATTTGATCAAATCTACCTGTGGATCAGAGGTAACCTCTGATCTTAGAAAACCCTCCTTTTAAAAAGAGAACAATTCACCCCCCATGACACTTACCTTTAATTATTTCAAAGCTAGTCAGGTTTATCTCTCATGTTGAAAAGTAAATATTTTTCCTATTCAGCCTGAAGAAAAGATGTGAAAAATGACAACTTGGTAGAGAAACTTGTATCCTGAACTGCTGTGCTGTCTTTGTCTTCTTAGGTAAAACAGAAGCACTTATCCTTCTTCAATAAAATTGCTGAAGCAAGGTCAGACATTTGGATATGGATATAACATGTCAATAAATTATAGCCATTGGCATGCACTTGAACACTGAACTACAATCTCTGCAGGAATCAGTAGGTAATGCTGAAGTAATTATCTCAGGATATAGTTCTTTGTGGCTAAGTCTAAAGTTTGTGTTTGAATAAATAAAATCTATGAACATTAATATTACATGCAAAATTTTACCCTAAAAGAAACAGCACGGAGTATTTATTTTTTTCAATTGCTGTGATTTCCTAAAACAGAATTCCAGGCTGGATCTAGACACATCAAAAAAAGGTTTCAGGAAAATGCGTGGTAGACCTCATAATGGGAAATCACGATGCTGAAAGACAGAGCTCTCCCAGTATCTGGTGTCACAGTGTTATAATGCATTTATAAATGCTTTTTCTTTACGAATGTAGTTGAGTCCCTAGTGTCATTTCAACATTTTCCTGTTATCTAAATCTTGTGGCAGAATGAAGAGCGATTGTCATGAACCAAGCCTGAACATTTGACGATCTGGATAAATGTACTGGCTGTACTCGTTTGGATTTGATCGGGCAACTGCTTGCCTAGAATTTACCACCCAAGAATCCTAGAATTTACCGGCCACAGCGCTGTTGCTGATTGGCTAGCAAAGACAGAAGACTTCTGAAGAAAAACAGGCAGGCTTCCCATTGTGGCAGTTCAAATGCCCTCTGATCAGTTTTGATTTCAGGCTTTATTTTAGAATAGAACTGCAGAGCTGGCAGGGACCCCATGGGTCATCTATTCCAATACCCTGAAATGCCTCTTAGGCCTCTTTGGCTTGTGTCTGAAGATCCCAGAATGGCCAGGGTTCAAAGAGACTTTATGCAAATCTGAGGCACGACATACATGCACACATGAATAGCTGATTTCTCCTTCTGGCTACAGCCCTTTGTGCCGCATAAAATGTTTTGTGCTCTGCCCTTCAGGAATTGCTTTTTTGTGGTAAGCATGGTATGTTGCTAATGTAACAGAGCACAAATTGCCAGTGGGAAGTTAATTCTAGTGCAGGATCTCCAATACAGTATATAACAGGCAGGCTCGCATTAGAGTTACACAGCAATTGCACCTCACTTTGTATTTCTGAAGGAGGACCCAGCTCCCCTGACAAGCCCACTCTTTTTCTGTCATTAAAGCATATTTCAATGTCATGTTTCGAGACTGCAATTTATCTTCATTTCCCTATATTTTGGGAGTTATGGGAAGTAAAAAAAACAAACCAAAAACTGTCTGTGTTAAGAAAATGATGCATTCTATTACAGTGGTACCTTGGTTTACAAACTTAATCCGTTCCAGAAGTCCGTTCTTAAACCAAAGTGTTCTTAAACCAAGGCATGCTTTCCCATAGCAGCTGGGAACTCAATTTACAAATGGAACACACTCAAACGGAAGCGAAACATGTTCTTATTCCAAGGCAAAGTTCACAAACCAAAACACCTACTTCCGGGTTTGCAGCGTTTTTAATCCAAGTTGTTCATAAACTCAGCTGTTCTTAAACCAAGGTACCACTGTACTGCTTTTACCTTTGGTTTGTCTTCCAAATTTCTAGATATTTCCAGTAGACATTTCCCACTTTTTCACAGAAAGAATATTTAGGAATACCACCATGTGCTTTGTAGAAAGTGAGAAAAAGTTCACATATGTTAAAATACATATCACCAGTGCTTTTTTTTGCAAGAAAAATAGATGCCGTAACTCTCCATAAAGTTGCTCCAGTAAGTCGCAGGGTGACACTGGGCAGACTTGGACAGATACTGGTTTGATAACAGCTGCGTTCAACCCTTGCAGAAGTGGTGAAAACTACGGCAAGCTGTCTTGCCCCTGGTTCTTGTACAGGTCAAATAAATGTGTCCCTCCCTCCCTCATTCTCTTAGATTCAGGCGGATAGCTAGAGCAGCTCAGAAGAGCCCTCTTGCAAACACACATGCATGTAGCAGTAGAGACCTGGATGGAAAGCTTAAAGCCCACTGCTGCTACATGGGAGATGCATTGAAGAAAAGGAAATACAAATCGGTTCTGCCTCGTAGCTTGACGGCTAGGGGCAGCAAGGAGCTAGGTGGAGTCATAGAGCTAAAATATAATATAGACTTGCCCAAACTACCCAGCTTCTGTTTTGACGTGAAATGTTCATTTTGGGCTTCTCAGAAGTACATAAAGGCAAGAAGGAGGCAGTGGGAGGGCCAGCCCAAAATGGCGCCCACCAGAGAGGTGCCGGAATTGTGCTACGGCACTCTCCAGCTACAAAAAGAAAGAAAGCACTGCATAAAGGTAAAGGTAAAGGGACCCCTGACCATTAGGTCCAGTTGTGACCGACTCTGGGGTTGCGGCGCTCATCTCGCTTTATTGGCCGAGGGAGCCGGCGTACAGCTTCCGGGTCATGTGGCCAGCATGACTAAGCCGCTTCTGGCAAGCCAGAGCAGTGCATGGAAACGCTGTTTACCTTCCCGCCGGAGTGGTACCTATTTATCTACTTGCACTTTGACGTGCTTTCGAACTGCTAGGTTGGCAGGAGCAGGGACCGAGCAATGGGAGCTCACTCCATTGCAGGGATTTGAACCGCCGACCTTCTGATTGGCAAGACCTAGGCTCTGTGGTTTAACCCACAGCGCCACCTGAGTCATCACCCTTTAATTCAGGAATGGGGAAATATGTGGCCTTCCATCTGATAAACACCAACTCCTCTCAACCCCAGCCAGCATTTTCAATAACCTGGGGTGCTGAGAATTGTAGCCCAACATCAGATGGAAGACTATAGGGTTCTTCACTCTTGTCACATTTTTCGTAAATCAGTTTCTTCACTCATATGTCACAGTTACAGAAAATATTGTTTGGCTTCGTTGACCTTTCTTTTGTCCCACGGAGTTCCAGGAAACAAGTTAAACACATGCCTAATTTACTTCACTGCAATGAAAATGACCGAAAACTACTTAACTTTTCTTTTCAGGATCTGATACACTTAAAATGCAAAAGAGATAAGATGTAACGGAGGTGCTGTTTGTAAGGTGAAAAAAGGGGTCAGCTGGAAGAATAGTTTAAAGGCAAGTGAAGGATGTCAACTGGACTCTAAATAAGAAGTGATGCGACTATGTGAGGAAATGATGATGGTCCTATGTTTAGAACAGGAGTGGGAAACCTGAATTTAGGAAATTGTATTGTATTGAATTAATTTTGTTTGATTTGTAATAATCTGGAAAATTAATAAAAATAATTCAAAAAATAACAATAAAATGAGAGAGAGAGAATGTGATGAGTCCAGAATCTCATAAAAGTGGGCAGACAATCCAAGCTTTATGGAGGATGTTGAGGTGAGCATTGAAAATATTAGGCAAGATGGGATGTGGACACTTGGATTCAGATGACAGCTGCAATCCTCTTACTATACAGTAAGCCCCATTGAACACATCTAAGTAAACATGCCTAGGTTTGTGCTGCATGTTAATTGCACTTCGTTCCCATTGTAATCAATGAGATTTGTCATGACAAATTTGTATAAATTTATTATTATTATTATTATTATTATTATTATTATTATTATTCATTTTAGATTGCCCAAATTGAAAAGCTGCCTTTGCAAACCACTGACATTTGGCTGAAAATTCTCACCTTTCTGCAACTGCAAATAGTGCAACGTTGTAAGAGAATAACTCATATGCACTAGAAAACTCAAGTGCTCAGACTTAGTTTGGACTGTATGTTAACACATATGTGCACAGACCTGATTCACACAGTCCTCCTTTGCCATCACCCCAACAGGTGAGCAATTAAGTAAAATAACTCTAATCTATGAGTGTAATACAATACATGGTGGTATGAATATAGCACCCTTATTGCATCTTTATCTTATATGTGTGGTGAAAAATGCAATGTACCATTGCTACTGTACAGCAAATATCTGTAGTGCTGCAAAGACACAATAATCCAGAAGGGCTGTCTGCTTTCTTTCTAGTTTCTTAGCCAAAACTACCATTCCTTCTTCTGTAAGGCCTGGATTAGCCTTGTATCAATAAGGCTATATTTGAATAGCCAATATTTCCTTATGACTCCTCAGCTGTGACACTGTATATTTGCCATGAAATGAATTGCATTACAGAAAGATTTTCAATTTAAAAGCCTATTTGGATACCATAATACAGAGACATCTCTTCTGAGAATTAAATAGTTGCTCTTTCTTAAACGTCAAGTAAGAGAAATATAGCCAAGATGCCTATCACTTGAGAGTTGGCTCAATGGTTAGGTTCGAAATTCCAATTTTCAAAATAGCACTATGCTTATTTGAAGCTCCCCAAGTTTCGTTCCCAGTTAGATATAGCATTAATCAATATGCCATTTACATTTGAATATAAAAACTTAACCTACTAAACAGATGCCGTAATTTATTCTAGACATGGCTGCTTTATCATGCAGAATAATGACATGAGGGTCACTCTTTATGGAGAGTACCATATTTGTTTGTTTCAAACTGTCAATAAACTTTAAACACTTTACAGTGAAAATGCCAATCTATCAGCATTTTTGTGGTGCTATTTGATTTGTTGTCGTTTAGTCGTGTCCGACTCTTTGTGACCCCATGGACTAGAGCATGCCAGGCACTCCTGTCTTCCACTGCCTCCCACAGTTTGGTCAAACTCATGCTGGTAGCTTCGAGAACACTGTTCTACCATCTCGTCCTCTGTTGTCCCTCTCCATCTTTCCCAACATCAGGGTCTTTTCCAGGGAGTCTTCTCTTCTTTATGAGGTGGCCAAAGTACTGGAGCCTCAGCTTCAGGATCTGTCCTTCCAGTGAGCACTCATGGCTGATTTCCTTCAGAATGGAGAGGTTTGATCTTCTTGCAGTCCATGGGACTCTCAGGAGTCTCCTCCAGCACCATAATTCAAAAGCATCAATTCTTCAGTGGTCAGCCTTCTTTATGGTGTTATTTGATACTAGTGTCCAAAAGAATTAAACATGACAAAATGCTTTCAGAGAGTGACACAGCTGAAGTAAGTATTCCTCCACCTCCCTTAAGATCTGTCATTTCATTTTGCACCTGTAGGAGTTTGCACGGTCCATATCTAAGACAGAAATTGCAGGTGATAAAATGAGTGTAGGTACCATATTGGTAGACTCCACATTGCAGCCTTTCCTAAGAAAAGTAGACACCATACTTCAGCCTTCCCCAATCCGGTCCACCCCCCTTTCGATCCTGGAGAACCAATTCCCTCCCACAGTTCTTTGCTGGTCAAGTGGTTCAGGGGGGCACACCAGGAAGGCGCATATATGGAGTGTTTGTCTTCAGGCCAGAAGTGTGGCCCCTTAAGAAACTATCTTCTCCACAACAGGGTGGAGCCAGGGAGAGATGGTCAGGAAGCAGAGGTTCTTGACCTTGGTTGAAGCACGTTGTGCACTTGGCACCGTCTTTCTGGCCCAGTACATGTCTCTGCAGAACTAGAACAGAACTTGCCTCTCGTTTCTCATTCCAAAGTCTCCTGAGAGTTGGCTAATGCCAAATTACTGTGGAGACCTCTTTTCCTGTGTCCATTTATACCATGGTAG